AATGTTCGTTTTTACGGCAATCCGTATTGCCGCATGCCGTCGGGCGGGGCTAACTTTAAAAATGTAAATATGTATGCATTTTCACACAATTTGTTTTTCACATCGATTTTGCAGTTATACTGTCATATTTATGGGACTTATTCGCCTATTTTGACTGATTTTTTTTTATTTTTTATCGTTATTGGTATCTGGTCGTTTAAAGTTTTTGTTTTTATACGTGGTGTTGTGGCTGCACTGTTACCATAGCAATTATTGTATGCAATTAACAAATTATGGTGCTAAGAAATTTCTACATTAAAGGTGCTTGGGAGACACTGGGCATCTTATCTATTGCTATTGGATTATTGCTAATGTAACCATCGTGTACGTTTTGCGTCCGTCGTGTGTGCGCCTTCGCCGGCACCGACGTCCAAGGCTCAGTCGCCGATTGCCGGTTAGTGCGTCACGAGTGCTCCACCCGCCGCCATCGTCTTCTTGTGAATCACTGAATAATGACAAGCTGGCTGTAGTCGACGTCGGTGATATTATTATTATTATTTGTTTTTATATACCTACATATATATGATTCCTTTTTTTGTTATTACGGAACTTGTATTTTAGAGGAATTGTATTAACAAACTGTTAGATTTAAGGGACCCCCCTGCTCACGTTATTTGTAAGTTTTTTAATATTTTATTTTGTCTTAATTCTTAATACAGTCCACTTACGTACCACCAAACCATAATGATCATATTTGTTTGTCTCTAGTATTCCTATTTTTTTTTTATTTTCTTCCTATCTCACTTCAAATACTGGTTACTTGATTCTGCTTTCACTCGACTTGATAATCTTCCGTGAAATTACCAGACACGGAATTTTCAATCGTACAGTCGCCCTACTATTTTGACAATACAGTTCAGTTTTTCGTATTATATGAATACATTGATATTTATACAGGAAATAAATCAAAATAAATACATTTTTTATAATGTCTAGTAGTGATTCGAGTAGCGATGAAGAAATTATTCTTTATCATTATTATAAACACCACTTAAACAAACGCAGAAGAAAATATTGGATCAATCCTTATATTGAAAAAAATGTTAACTGCAGACTATTTGTAGCTGCTAAGGAATTACAGGAAAGTGACTCCCGATTTCTTGCATTCTATAGAATGAGAAAAGAAACTTACCTTCAATTAAAAGAAATTATTTGTCCTGCTCTTCGATACACAGACACTAATATGAGGGAATGTGTGTGCCCGGAAGAAAGACTATTGATAACACTAAGGTAAGAATAATATTTAAATGATGTATTTATTTTATATATTGCCTTTAAATACAATTTTATTATTTAATATAATGAGTAATGTTTAATAATACATTTTAAAACTAATATTAATAGTGGGATACGCATTAGGTAGTATTTTTCATATTATATTACTGTATTATTCTATATTATCGGTGGTCAAAGCATCACGGACGACTTGGTAGTATAAACTTTCCGTGTCATTATGCTGTAGCTCTTCTACTGACATTGGGTTGTTGAAGGTAGAATTACTCTGAGGAGAGTGATCCGTACTTGTACTAGCTAGTGGTGAATGTGATGACATAAGAGAGCTTGTTTGTGTATGTTGATAAGTTGTGGTAGAGATAGTTGTAGATATGGAGCTGGATTCAATATATCATCAATAAGCTGCAGAACTCTACGCCTAAATGAAATCATTTGTGCGTTTGTCATGGGTTCAATCTCGGGTAGCAAACTCAGAAGAAACATTTTTTTTTGTTGGTTGCGCTCATTAGGAGTTGTTTCTATTTTTTTTTTTTTTTTTGATATTTTAGTATTCCATAAAGGATTTGTCCACATCAGTATCTGCTCGCTTCTGAAATTTTCCTTTCCTCGGAGTTGGAAATGTTTTATATGTGTCACTTAACGATTTTTCATTAGAAACATTGTCTTGTTGTACTTGTATTGGACATGAAGGTAGTTGGGTAGGACAGTTTGGTGGTGACAGATCGTTATTTACATGTGATAGTTGAAATTCTTCATTTTCTTCATCATTGTATATTTCATTTTGTGTCTGATCTTCAGAATCTTGTTCTAGCTCAGTTGGACTTTGTTGAGGGCAATCAGATAAATTTCCAACTGGCGTACCCAATGCTCTTATGAATGGAAGCGCAAATTGCATGAATTCTGTCAAATAATAAGGTTTTTTACTTTTGGAACTGGAACCACTGGCAGGGGGTTTCATATGACGGACAAATGTGGAACGGAGGTTCTTCCATATTTCTTTACACTCGTTTACTATAAAATATCAATAATAATTAATATTTAAATAATACAAAGTCTAAAATAATTGACGTTGAGTTTTAATTATTAATTTAATAAAAAATTTCTGTTAACACTTAACATATTATGTCCCAACAAAAACACTCCGTCAACGCATTTAAGGTTCGAATTTTAACAAAATACGTAAAAATCACGAAAATTTGCAAATTATTTTGTGTTAGAAATTCATTAAAAAAATTTTTTGTCTAATTTTATCAAAAAAACAAATCTCTACCTGAAAGTCAAAATAAAATTGTGTCATGCGCTACGGCTCCTTTTTTTTTACTTAGCTTGCGTCGCTGGATGATAAGAATTAAAATGTAATAAATTGTTTGCAGGTACTTAGCAACAGAATCTACTTTTGTATCGCTTGCATTATACTTTGCTAGAGGAGAAAGTACAGTTATATACATAATACGTGAAATGACAAAATTGATCTGGGAATTATTAAAAGATTCTTATATGCCTACACCAACTGAAGAAAACTGGAAATTAATAGCTCAACGTTTCTATTCACTCTGGAATTTACCAAACTGTTTGGGTGCATTGGACGGTAAGCACATACGAATCGAAAAACTACCAGGCAGTGGATCAAGTAATTTCAATTATAAAATGTATCATTCAATAGTATTATTTGCATGTAGTGATGCAGATGGTTTTTTCACTACTATCGAAACTGGCTATGCTGGTAGAAATAGTGATGGTGGAATATTGACGCAGTCCCGCTGTGGTGCGGGTACAACAAGTACACCACTATCGCGGAGCCGCGTCCGCTTTCTACCCAGCCTCAACCCGGGCAACGACAACACCGTTTCCGATATTACCTACCTCGGAAAACCGGGCAGAGGTGGGAAAAGTTATCGGAACCGGTGGCAACGTACCGACCGGTCGCCTCAAGTGACCAACCTTTTGCTCGTGACCGTCGTTGAAGTCTTCATACGTTCTTTGTTTGTTTTTCACTACCGTCACCAAAAGACAATCAACGTCATTCGCCATATTATTATACGAACCTTTAAACAAATATAATTAGATTGTCGTATCTTTATTTTTTGGTTTTTCTTTTATTTTGGTTTGTTTAATACACCAACTCAACTGTGACCGGCCACCTCACCGAGGGGAAAAACCTACCACCGACTTGAGGCCGTGTCAATGTTTCGAGCATCAATAATTAAGAATTGGATTACAACTGGAAGATTAAATATACCATTCCCTTCAAAATCAATAGATGATTTAAATGATTATAATTTTCCTTTCTACTTTGTCGGCGACGAAGCCTTTTCATTGACACCATATTTGTTGCGACCATACCCACAGAGAACTCTTGATAATGTCAAAAGAATTTTTAACTACAGACTAAGCCGAGGTAGGAAAACTGTGGAATGTGCTTTTGGAATGATGACCGAAAAGTTTCAAGTTTTAAGCAGTGCAATTCGCATCCGTAATACAGAAAGAGTGACTGATATTATAAAATCTGTGTGCATTCTTCACAATTTCATTCGCAAAAAAGAAGGAATTAAATATACACCATATGAACAAGTTGAAAACATTCAAGATAGCATCGATAGTACAACGGTATTACCAATTCAAGATCTTGTGTTACGTGATCGTGCTTCCGCTCATGAAGTTAGAAATTATTTAGCAAATTACTTTCTCACTCCCTGAGCCTCTATTCCATGGCAGTGGAATTATTGTGTTTAAACTATAAAGAATTACCTGCTTAAGATGTATTGAATATTTAAATTCATATTTTTCTGTTTAATAATAAACAAAAATATTTGAAATGGTTTATTTTATTATTAGAGTTATTTTTTGTGTTTACACTTGAAAGAAAGAATATTATTTAAAATATAGTTAGTACAGTATGTGTACATACAGTGCAGTTATCTAATGTGGACGCGTATTTATAAATTAACCACTAGAAAATCCAATATTTTTCGTTATTCGTCGATAACTAATCGATGTACATTATCATGGGTTATTTACGATCAACAGTAGGTATTTGTACAGGCGTAAATATGACTTTAATGAGCAAAGATAGAATTATAATGATTATTATTATTATTTTAGAATATGCAAAATTTATACAACTATAAATAAATATGCAATTAATATGCATTTTCATTGAAATATGCAAAAATACGCAAAAAAAAGTAACCATATAATCTATACATTATGAAACGTCGACTTTTATAATCAAAATTATTATTCTAGGTGAATTGTAGAAGAATATGCATTTTTATATAAATCCGGGCCCTAATCATAATAATATATTAAAATATACATTAAAATATATAGACAAATTATAATTAATTAATAATTATGAATAATAAATTCTTTATAGTCATGTACTCAGAACCAATTATTATACATATTATTATTATTATTATTATTGTGATAATACTTGAATATTCTCGGTCTTACCTGTGAGCATAACTTCTATGGCTACTTCACTCCAAGCTTTTTCCGTTACATTTCTTTTGGAGTAGCTTTTTAAGGTATAATTATATAGCTCGGGATACTTTTCTATTTGTTGCACAAATTTTATATTAAAATTTTGATCCATGTTATATTATTTTATTATACACGAAATAAAAATTACCAAGCAACTCGATCAACCAAAGTAGCGAGGAGACCGGCATGTCTAGTCGCCAGTTGACTAGTCGCGTCAGTTTATCAGTCGCGGCGACTTTAGTAGCGCCGTCTGAACGACGCCATTCAAACACACATGCGCAGTTGCCTAGTCGCCTAGTCTCCTAGTATCTAGGCGATTGCAGTTTCTTTTGAGTATCCCCGTGTGAGGAGGGCCTAAGAATAAATAAAGTTTATTATTCGAAAAAGATTTTTTTTCATGTTTTAAACGCGCAATGTATCATAGGTGATACATTTTTCAAAAAATGTGTAAGAGTTCAAAAAAAAAATAATTAAAAAAAATAAATATTTTTCTTATATTCTGTATACATATTACAGGTGCATACATTTTTCCGCTAAAAAATCAGACCTTAAATTTAATTCGCGCAGTATAGGGTTAAATAAATTTGTTACTGGAATCTCTTGCATAGATATTAAAAATGCATTAGGAAATAACTACATTGACATTGTGAAATATGCAAAACTTAAACTTTCGACATATTTAATCCGAGACGACTATAAAGAATTATTGGATTTAATAATTATTTTTTTGGGAGAAGTACCTCCTGGAGGAATTAAGTTTAAAAAACCAGGTGCATACCATCATGCAAGGTGGATGACAGAAAGGCATCTATTGTCTCAAAATGTATTTATTTCGACAAGTTTAAGTTAACAAATAATGAGATTAATTCTATTTCTCATTTTAATTTGTTTTTAATTAAGTGCTATGTACGCTTCTGGTTTTCTGCGCCAAATGCCATTGAAGCTCCATTAAATGATATCATGTTTTTAAGAGCCTGCTACGAATATCGTACAATTAATGAAATTATTTCAAATTCTCTTATTCAAAAGTTTCTTAGACATTTGTATTTATTTTAGACATTTATATTTAAACGAAGAATGTATCACGTTAGCACTGTTTGATAACAGAATAAATGAAGACACAAAAATGAAAATGGCCCAAAAAATGATAGCAATTGATGAAAAAGAGGACTACGAGGAAGAAATAACAGAGAAAAAATTAATTTTGAATAAAGAAGAATTAATTTGTCTTTTAGAAAATGATGATAATAATATTTTATTAAAACTCGTGAACCATAAATCTAAACATTTTTTAGAACGATTTGGTATTTCAACTGCATTTTTAAAATCACATCCAAATACATGGACTAATTTATCCAAATTCATAGAAGGGAAAAAATAGTAAGTGATCTTAAAGTAGTAAATGATCCTGCAGAACGGAGTATAAATTAATGGAAGAGTTCAATCATAAAATTACAAAATATGAAGACCAAAAGCAATTTATATTAAAAGTAAATGATAAATATTAACTTTGTGTAATATAGATTAATAAATTAACAAACATTTTTATATTTTCAGACTGTTCAAGATTATCGTAAGAAATATCCAAAACCTGCTACTTTGAAAGATCTTAAAAAACCTTTATAAATATGTTGTCCTTTAAATAAGTTAATTTATTTTGTTATAATAATTAAAACATGTAATTGTATAGTGTATTGGAAATATAAAATATAAATTTTTTCATTTTTAAAATTAAAGCAATTATACACCAAAAACCAACATTTTACTCTTTTCTATAAAACTTTGAGCTTAAGTCGCCACCTGATAATTAAGTTCGATCAAGTTCAAATTTTACAGACATTAATTTTAGGTATATTATAATAAAATTCCGGCCCGCACTTTAAAATATTTAGCAAAAAATTTTCTCTTCGTATCAGTAACTGGCACCCTAATTATATATATATATATATATATATATATATATATATATATATTGTATAACATATTTGTCGCTGATATCAGCTCTTATACTAAAAAGAATAAGAGTGCCTTAACAGCTGTATAAAGAAAAAAGGAAACTATTATGCTGTGTGAAATAAAACAAATAATTTTTGAATAAATAATGAATATAATGGGCTTGAACCAACAAATATAATAAAATAAATAATAATAAATTATGTGCCTACGACGGCTAGTGCAAAAATACAATATAAATAAATTATGTGCCTATGTCGGCTAGGCCCGTCGGCCTTTAAACACAAACGAAACAAATATGGTCGACCAATACTCACATGTGATGACTGTAATTGGTGGCGGATTTTATCCCGACGCGACCGCACCAGAACTGTGACGACAATTGCCTTAGACGGCACACCGCAGTGTTTAAAATTATACAAAATAAAAATGTAACAGTCTGGTACGTGCGACCACTGAATCACAATCACCAACGAAGATAAGCAACAAACTTAAAAATGTAACAAAACGTGAATTTAACGTAAACTAAAACAAAAATGAATTTCGATGTGCACACCATGAAGACACGTAAAAGAGAGCGAGATGGTGCCGACGACATTCACTACGAAGGCTAAGGCCGCCAGACACCACAATGAAGATAAAATTCTCCAGTGCCACCACACAAATTGAAAAACACTCGAAATTAATGAACTTTGTGGCACTGAGAGCATAAATTGAAACTTTTACAAAAACATAACCGAAAATTTTTGAAAACGTGGAATGAATCACTTTCGTGCGACGATAACAACGCGATTACGTACCCGGCCGGTCGCACACGGAGGCTTATCGCCGCTGACGGCAACGGCCGAAGGTACGCAACGCACCGCTATGCATCGCACGAAAATAATAACATAAATAATAAGTGCTCGCAACGTGAACAATATTAAAGACTGAAAGTATACTCTGTTCAAAATAAGAAACGTAGACGGCGGCGACCAGTTTTCGTCGGCGGCGGACAGATTTTTCTCCCACCGTGCGTCTATTTTATCGACGACGGCCGCTGACATACGACCGTTGTCGACGTATTAATGTTCGTTGTGGAATTCGGTCTCGTTGTGTTCCGGCTGTTGTATGCTAAGCTGACGTATGGTAAATACGGCCCAACGTGCAACGCAGCGCCACGCCGTGCCGGTCCCACGAAAAAATAGGAAACAATGCATTTTAAGTTAATTGTTCGCGTCAATGGTCAACAATAGAATGAGGCGACGCTCTCGCTGGCGACGGTGTCAAAGCTCGATAAGCGTAGTGAGGCCACGCCCATGCGCAGAAGTCGGCCGTCGTCTACTTTTCTTATTTTGAACAGAGTATAGGTAGGTACCTCAAAATCATTTTAATCTATTCTGTGATAGTAAATACGTTAATCCTCATACAACACATGGCATACATGCTTTGATCTTGAAAAATAAAATTAATTAGTAATTTTGTCAAAGTATTTTGACCTTTGTCTGAGAGACAACCATTGTTAAGTTTGAAATCAGCTAATATGAATCTGCCATCATTAGTGCTTTCTAATAGGTCCATAATAATCTATATAATTTGAATAGGTACATATTGATTTTAAACTATAGATTTATACATAATAATATAAAATACATGTATTATGTGCAATATAAATTAATATATTGGTATACATAATAATATATTATACCAATGTTAAAGATTATATTATAATCATAAGTATGCATGTTAGTATTAATTTCTAAATTCATAAATGCACAATACCTGTAAAGTCCAATTCATTGGATTATATGTACCAAATTTTATATGACTGAACAGAACTGAAGAACTGCGAGACGAAGAGGAATCATATGGAGAATATCTATTATTACTACGAGATACTCTAGTTTGTTTTTCATTATTTGAAATACAATATTCAGAAATTTTTTCAGGAATTTGTTGAACATATTCAGCTAATATGTCTATCAAAGCAGCATTAGGGTCGGGAACAATAAAGCTATCAAACAACGCCTATAATGAAATTAGTTTAAAAAAAAATTACATCATAGTAAACAAATTACAAACCTACATACATTTTTGCATATTTCAAAAATAAATAACTAATAGAATATAATAATAATTTATACAACTAATTTAACTTTAATGTACTTACTTCAGACAATTAACTGCCACT